GTCATGGCGCAGGGGATGAAGCTGACGGTGACTATCCATCATGGCTGGCCCAGCTGTGCGGAGCATTTCTGCTATGGGGCCATCTCCCCTCCGCCCATCCTCCCCCGCTGTGGAGTCCAGCGCTGGGTTTTCGACAAAGTTGAAGTCCCCCGCCCATATAAGGGTGGTGTCATTGTTTGTATCTGCCTGCGTGGCCGTTGCTGCCAGGATGTTGCTGATCAGTTCTTGCCTGAGGGCTGCTGCTCTATGAGTAGTGCCGGTGGGGACATAGATGTTGCAGACCTCAATGCAGTGTCCTCCCCAGCGAAGCAGGCAGCTCGTCAGCCGACCCTGTACACTCGGCTTATTAGGCTTGGTCTCCACGGTAGCTGTTAGGCCTTGTCGGACGAGGGTAAGGACGCCCCCCGTGTGGATGGAGTTAGACCACGAGCTGGCCACTACTCGCCAGCCCCGGCTGTGGGCTGTTGCAGCTGCCATGCTTAGCTCGCGTTCAAACAGGGATTGGTGGTGGGCATTGGTGTGGTGGGTTTCCTGCAGGCAGATCACATCCAGCCCCATCTCTATCCACTGTTTGGCCGCTGCATGAATCTTGTCCTTGTGTTTGGCCAGCAGACCCTGCATGTTCTGTGTTGCAATACGAAGTGGCCGTCCCTGCATTGCGCCCTGTTGGCGCTTGATTGTGGTCGTCGCTTCCATCAACAGAGTTGGCTGGGGGTGGCAGTGGGCTGGTCTTTACAACCAGGTTGGGAGCCGGTGGGGAGGTGTAAGATTAGGCTCTGGGATGGGGAGCCCATTGATTCCGCCTCCATAATCGTGTCGTCCCCCTCCGCAGCAGCAGTCCCCAGCTCCCTCCCCGAGGCCTGGGTCCCCTGGGTGGCTTCGGCACCTTTCGCCTTCTGCTTACGGGCAGACTGGATAAGCTCGCTGCGTCTCTCCGCTGCAGACGTTTTATGGATCAGCCGCTTCTGGTCCTTAGTTCGCTGGGCCAGTTCTGCGGATTGTTTGCGGGCTGCTCGGGCTGCAGCTGTTTGCGCCAGAAAGAACGTGCGCCTGGCTTCCCCCGTCAGGTCTGGCCTGCGGATTTTCTTTATTCCTTGGGTCTTGCGGGGCTTGCATGCTTTCCCCTTATGGAGGTCCGGTGCCGCTGAGGGTGGGGTTAGGTCCAGTACTACTGCTTCTGGTGCCCCCGGCAGTGCTGCTGTCGCCGGCGCTCCTTCCACGGCCGTGGCCGTGGGTGCGGATGAAATCCCATTGGGGTTCGCTGCGGGGGGTGGGGTTGGGTCCAGTGCTGCTGCTTCTGGTGCCCCCGGCAGTGCTGCTGCCGCCGGCGCTCCTTTCACGGCCGTGGCCGTGGGTGTGG